GGCGTGCGGCGGGTCGGGCTCCCACAGGACTACCAGGACCCTGACACCCTGAGGGACAGCCCTGTGACCACCACCACGGACACCCACACAGGTGACTCACTCCATCTGATAAGTGCTCGTACACTGACACCCAGTGGTGTCTGTGCCCCATAACTCGCTTCAGCTACTGCAGTCACACTGACTATGTGATGCATCTTTACCCTGATCACATTAAACTTCCTCTTTATTTCATAATCAGCACTCTATTTGAGTGACTGCAAAAGAGGAAGCAGAAATACAATTTTAGCTTAATTTTATTGAATGAAAGGGTCCCATACCAACCATGCTACAAACTATTATAGAAACATGAAGCTAATGTGACACTTTTGGCAGATGTTTGGGGATGTTTTCATTTCTCTGTAGAAAAACGTTCTCTTGTCTTGTCCTGGAAGTATTACTACCATGTCTGTGTCACGCTTTAATGTCATCCTTTCTAACATTCGTTCGACTGGTTCTTATATAGCACTATTCTGCTCTACTTGAGCACTCAAAGCAGTCTATACACAACATATCCCATTCACCTACTCACACATACAGTTATGTAAGCGGTTTTTTCTACTTCTAAGTGCTTTCTAACATTCATACTCCAATGAACACATCAGGAGCAACTTGGTTTTCAGTGTCTTGCCCAAGGATACTTTAGCGTCCAGACTGGAGCAGGGCTCAAACCACCAACCTGCCAATTAGATGACCTGCCTGAAGTCCTGAGCCACAGACATTAACACAGTCTTAATTCTAGGTTCTGTTCAGCAAAACCGAGATTAGATTGCTCTCAAATGTCTTTGCATTGTTATTGTAGACTAGAACAGCTGGCTTCACCTGGCCAAGTTTGAATTGAACTTATTTATCATTATTATTGGAAGGAGTTTCACACAAGACTTTCAGACAACCATGAAACTGAAAAGAGCGAACCCTCTCTGTAATCTGAATTAAAAACAAAAGTTAAGTCTTCAGAAACTCAGGAATAGCCCTCTTTTTCTCTCTTTCAGGTGAGCTTCAGCCAATGGCGAGCAGCGCCTCAGTGGCATCATTTGTCATCGCTGTGGAAACGGGTCTGTCAGACGAGGAAGTGTCCTTGGAGCAACCTCAGTTGGTGGACAAGTCCTGAGAGCAGTACAGCAGAACCTAACCAGAATCGGCCCAAACCAGGCTCTAATCAGGTTCAGATTAGATAAATAACAGACCTGACTGTTATATTTAAAAAAAAAAAAGAAGAAGAAAATGATGAAAAAGAAAAAAATATCTGAACCAAACCTGACTGCATTCGACTGAGCAAAACCTGAGCTAGGCCTAGGATCTGGTTCTGGTTTTCTCTGGTTCCAAGTGGATGCTAAAACCCAGATCCAGCACCAGGGTTCTTCTTGGCTCTTCTACATGGATATGTGATACAAGATTTCGCCAAACCAACTTGTCTGGACCAGACATATTGAAACTAAGTTAAGTGGGTCTTTTCCAGTGTGTTCACCTCAGTCCTTTCCTTGGTTCTTGCGTTAACCAGGATTTTTCTCCAGTGCAACTCAGTCTACAGATGTCTTGGTTAAATCCAGTTCTGCCTCAGTCAGACTCGCATCTTGATATCCTTACGAACCTTTCGTTGACCCTGACAAGCTTCCGCAGTATAGATCGAGTCCTTCATTTCAAGACTTTTTTTTGTCTCCTGACTTTGAGGACTTTCAAGAAGCAGTAGGCTGTATTTCTGTATGCAGTCCGTGAATATAGATTAAGGTTTCGTTCTGTAACTTTTCTCTGGATCTCCTGGAATATTCTTCTTTACCTGGTTTTCCCGAATAGGGAAGCACAACAGCAAAAACCAATCATGGTGGACTGCTCGCTTCCTCTCCAGGTTCGCGTTATTGGAAAACTCTGTTAAATAAGCTTATTTTAATTTGCCTGCCAAAAGGCCAGGCAGGGCCTGTTTCTTGATGTGTGTGTGAGTATCTGCGGTGGATGATTTACATTTTGCAAAGGTGGACATTTATTTTGAAAGGACACAAGCTACTCTGAACAGTGGTTTTCTTTAGTCTGTAGTTTATGTAAAGAGGTAGCTTTGTCCTGAAATAATTACTACCACAGTTTGACTGCAGTTTGAACAGCAATTACACACAGTATTGTTTTATTTTAATTCCCCCCCCC